GCTTATTCGGCTAAATTTGCGAGTTGAAGACTTGAACCGCTAACATCCGTCGCATCTCAGGCCCTTGACTGATTCGACCATAGAGGCCAATGATAGACAATAACCACCCCCACCCTCCGCCTCGCGAACACAGCTTACAACTTTCATCATATGTGCTCTCTAAAGAGCATCTCTTCTCAAAATATCCTTCATCTCCTAAATTATTGTAATAGTTTCGAACTCTTCCTTTCCTTTTAATAAATAATTAAATTAAAGATAAAGTTGAGCATGACAATTAAACAAGTTAATTAACCATGATTTGAATACCCCACATATAATCATGTCCCCGAGCACTCCCCATAATTTGACCTTGAATGCCCCACACTAAGCCACTACTCTCCTGATCATTCGTGTTTCACGCCGATTTCATAAGCTTTTTTTCACGAACAACATTGATAATTACCAGCACTCTACAATCTAAAATGTACTTAAAAGTGTTGGGATTGTAGTATGCTTTGCCAATTGGCATGCATGCCCATATATTATGGGGGTGATATCCACACATCCATTTTTATTTCTTACACACCCCTCTAATTTTCAGCCGTCGGATCAGATGAATTGAAGAAGATCAACGAACATAAATTAACAAAGGGTGTGTGAGAAGTAAAATGGGGTGTGTGGATAGCATATCCCTATATTATAATAACTTCGTTTTTATTTTTTTATGAAATGATGATAATAGATCAGGCAAGTCAACTACACATAAGATTTGGTCACCGGACTACAATAGTAGTTTTACTCTTTAAACCCGCACAAGACGGATAGAAAGAATCAAGATTCCGGGATTAGACATCAACCCCAAAGTAGGCTACTGCTTTCCCGAGCGATTAGAAAGAGCTCTCTCTCCAATACAACGACCCATGTCCCCTAAAATCATCCATGCATGCCCATATACTATATTAACCTAGTACAAGAAAAATTCTGATGTCCGACAAAGTTTATATGGCCACACAAAGAATCAAGACTCCCTATTGAGAAACTTTCTTTTAGAAATTGAAGGGATTATCTTTGTCTTCCACCAAGAGATAAGGAATTCGACATAGCTTGTGATGCATATTTCAGATGAAATGAAAGTTCAAAGAGACAGAGACACCTGGCGCCTACAAAGGCAAAAGAGCAAATGTCTACATCCAAAAAATCGATCAAATCCAAAAAAGCTAGTCTATTCATCTACTCGTTTTTTTCACGTCCAAGTGAATTTGAAGTGCAATGTACATAATTATTTTCACCAACAATTTCTTTAGATGAATTTACAAAGCAAACTTGCATGATGCGGTTACACTGCATTTACGGTTATCCAATTGTTAGAATACCAAACAACTAGTATACATTGATCGGGCGATTGATCAAACTGATAAATGTAAGTGCAATTAACCGTATTAAAGAAAAACTAAAATATGTATAAAATGAGGCTTAAATTGTTTAATGAGAGTACTTATTACATTAGGTACACATATTGTAAGAAGCTCAAAAATGAGTTATAGAATTTGCATTACGGATATCAAGGATGGTGATGATGATTAGTGATTATAAGCATGATTACACAAATTTCCAAGTGCATGGTCAAATTAATGATTAAAGCATGTGGGGTGGCTGCAATATTTTGATTAAAATTCGCCAAAATTTTCACAAAATGCAATATTTTGGTGGTGCATCTTTGTCATCCTACTTATTATCATTTGATGAGTTTAAATTTTGAGATTTATGTCTTTTTACTACATATATATTGAAATTAAACTCATCAAAAAAATAATAAGGAAAACTAATGAAAATGGCTTGAAAACTTTAAGTTTTAATGATAAGGACAAAATAAAGGGTAAAGTGAATAGTACCATGATTGACTTTTTAGTGTAAAAATGTGGTTTTTCGTTAAAATGAACAGTACCGGATGCTTTTCGTTAAAGTTCCCAAAATAATAAGCATTACCATGACGTCTATAAAAAATATTCCTGTCACCGAAAGGCGCATGGGCATGCTTGTAGAGTGTAGGTTGAGTTTGTGTTCCACTTTCATACACTCATCAAAATTCTAAGTTCAGTACAGAATTGGCAATCATTGTGGATAAGTTCACTGTAGAAGTTGCAATCATTGTGGATATACGTGCTTTTTTGAAAGACAAGTAATTTTTGCACATTGTTTTCTTTTTCTGCATACTCATGTATTTTGTGATATAACTAAAAATTAACAAGTTTTCAGTGACACTCGAATAAATCAGCTTATCAAATCATCAAAATTTAAGTTTACTACAAAATTGGCAATCGTTGTGGATTTAAGTAGCTTTTATCGAAAGAAAGTGAATTCCGTCATTCTGCACACTCATATACTTTATGGTATAACTAAACGTCAGAAGATCTTAGATTTAATGAACACTCAGAATAAATATCACACATTAAGTGAAATGAAGATACTACACTAGTGGTTGATTGTGTATTGGGTTAAAAGGTAAACTAAATTATAACAAATATGCGTCCCCTTTTCCACTAAGAAGGCAAAAATAGTTTGTCCTTGAGATTTTTTGATTCGAAACACTAACATATCATTGAATCAACCAATTACTTTTTGAGTGAATTTTTATGTCTCAGCCACTCGTCACATGTTGTTATTAATTCACACATGTTATTATTTTATACTATTTTTAAAAGAAAATCGGTGGTTATTATTCAATTAGTTTATCTCCACTATAAATAGAGAGGGGAGCCTAAGCCAAATGCATCACTCAACCATACTTCATAATTTGGACATTCTTGTTGGAGTTGAGTTGAGTTCGAGTGAGAATGAAGCAGGCATCATATTCTTCCTACATTGCAATTGCACTGTGCACTGTGGTGGTGCTACTGCTGGCCACAGCGCCGGTGTCAACGGCGGTAACATGCAACGCCATTCAACTTAGCCCCTGCGCCGGCGCAATCACCTCTTCAACTCCACCGTCGAAATTATGCTGCAGTAAGATCAAAGAACAGAAGCCCTGCCTCTGCCAGTACCTCAAAAATCCTAACCTGAAGAAGCTTGTCAACACCCCAAATGCCAGGAATGTGGCCAGGACTTGTGGCACTCCCTTCCCCAAGTGCTAGAACCTATGATGCATCATGCAGCCTCACACCAACACTATTTTTAATATATATATATATATAATTTATATCTCTATGTTCGACATGGATATATGATGCTTCTTGCTCAGTTGTTCCATGATTAATGGGGATTAGAGAGAGAGAATTAACATATGCTTAATTAATTTTGTGTGTTCTATTTTATCTATGTTGTACTCTCGGTGTGTGGTTTATCCATAGTAGTGGTTGTAGAGTGCTACTTATATATAATGAGAATTCGTATTGGAAAAGTGCTCAGATTGCTTCTATATGAATTACTTCTGCTTGTAAGTGCTTCTACTGAAAGAGCTTTCATTAAGAAGCACCACTTCGAAGTTAGAAGCGCTTTTGGTTGCTTCTCTAGAATGTGCGTCTATGATGCATAAGAACTTACGACTTTTTTTGCCAAATGCAATTAGAAGCGTTTTTGGTTGTCAAAAAACACTTCTACTAAAATTTTAAGAGAAGCCAATTTATAGTGAAACCAATTCAATTAGATTTGATGAGGAATTGTTTGTCATTGGACTTTGATGAGTGGTACTACAATCTAATCAAAACTTGCCATGCGCAAGTCTTAATTATTCTCTTTTATCATTCTTTATATTTAAAATTTTCATAATTAATTTTCCTACTAATTAATATACACCATGAGATTAATTTGATGTATATATTTTTCTTCTCCCCCCCCCCCCGGTCTTTTTCTTCCCAAATTTCCCCCCTGGTACATTTATATGGATAATCAACCAAAATAAGTGAAGGATAACCAATAAATTGTGAAAAGATCAACTCGATAGTATGGAGTGAGTCTGCAAGATTGTATTTAGAGTTTGCTATAAAATATTCTAATCCTGTATAGGAGAAACATAAATACGCAAATTACAACTCAGTGATAGATGAAAAAAAAAATATAGCTATTGGGCAATGAAATTGTGCTCATAATTGAAAAATAATAATAAACAGATTTTGTAAATAAATTTAAAAAAAAAAAAAAAGAAGAGAAGTTTTCCTTTTTTTTTTTTCATTTCATGATAGTTGGAGAAGATGACTTTGTTTTTGCCCCATATTCTTGTGAAGAAAGGAAATAAAGAGCCAGAAGACTGCACACGACATAGAAAACTGGGGAAGAAAATGAGAGAGAATGAGAAGAGGAAAAAAAATGAAAAAAAAGGAACAGACAAATGTTGTTAAACATCAAGTCTGTGTTACAATATATATATATATATATATATATATATATTTCATTTCATTATAGATGGAGAAGATAATTTAATTTTTTCACCATTGTTCTTATGAAGGAAGGAAAGGCACAGAGTGGGGAAGAAGCCGGCTGAGAAAATTTGGGAAGAGAAAGGGGAGACAGAGGAGATCAGAGACAAAATGAAATCTTAACTTAATCTTATGGTGTATATCAATTAATAGGAATATAATTATGAGAGTTTTAAATATTAAAGAAAAATAATAAAAGATAATATTTAAGACTTGCCACGCGGCGAGTTTTGATTGGATTTAGTGGCAAGCAAAGCCCACACAAGTTTTTCTCGTACTCTCGGTGTGTGGTTTATCAATGGTAGTGGTTGTAGAGTGCTACTTATATATAATGAGAATTCATATTTGATAAGTGCTCAGATTGCTTCTATACGAACTACTTCTGCTTGTAAGTACTTCTACTGAAAGAGCTTTCATTAAGAAGCACCACTTCGAAGTTAGAAGCGCTTTTGGTTGCTTCTCTAGAATGTGCATCTATGATGCATAAGAACTTTTGACTTTTTCTGCCAAATGCAGTTAGAAGCGTTTTTGGTTGTCAGAAAGCACTTCTACTAAAATTTTAAGAGAAGCCAATTTATAGTGAAACCAATTCAATTAGATTTGAAACCGTTGGAAACGAATCGATTCTTTATTGAGATTTGAAGATTACAGAAAACTAGGGTACCAAATCAAACACCATGCATAGCGTGCATTGTGCTCAATGGTCACACTTCACAACACAGACAATGAAACCTTGAAAAAGCATTTACATGTACATTATTTCAAAGAATGTGAAGTACTTACAACAAAAATGTACTTCTCACAAATTAAGAAGATTGGATATCTGGTTCCAGCCCATCATCCATGGCCTCCTATCAGATGGGAGCACAAAATTGAGCTCAAACATCTCTCTCGACAAGTTTCCGCTTTCGCAGAAGCCAACAAGTTTTGCAACTATTTCAGCACTCTCCTGTATGTGCCTGGGATCATGGGGATCTTGCCAAAGCTTGTTCACAAACTGCAGCTTCCTCTGCTTTCCTTCCAGCGGGACATCCCATTTCATGTACAATGCATCCCTCTCCTCTGCCATCAAGCGTGAAGACAACCTCTTCGCAAGGAACTCCCTTTCGCGCTTTAGCGCTCTCATACTGCATATCAGAAGTTTATTAGGAATCTTTAACTAAAAGGAATGATTTCAACTAGTTGAAAAGAGAAGAAAGGGAACCTTGATGACAAAGAGACTGTGGGTTCGTCTCCCACTTGAGCAGGGCTAGCATTCCCAAGTTCCGCAAGATGCTGTTGCAGCCATGTCAACCGCCTCAGCTCCACTTCCACGTAGATTTGATCTGCTGGGTCACCCTTAAACAACAAATAAAATTGTGTCCTGTGAATGATGGAGACAAAGCACAAATCCCACAACTCAATGATCTGCTGTCTTTGTTCCTTGAAAGTTATTTGCCACGAGACTTGGGGCTCCTCAGTCTCACATATGTTCTCGTCATTCTCTAAATTGTACCCGGCAGCTTCATTTGCTTCCAGCTCCAGAACCTGGAGGCGTAACCAATTGAAACGAAATGAGATTTTTTTTCACAAGGTTAAAAAGAATAATATATGCATGTATGCACGCATGTCTGTATGTTCTGTTAGATAGTAGAAAGAATATATTTTCATACCTGGCAAACTAGTAGCTGCTTTTGGTACTGCAGTTTGGCCACCCGCTCTTTCAGTTCCGTTACATATGTTCTAATGTTTCTTACGTTCTCTTCTGCTGCATTTTGGAACATCTTCTGCATTTTCTTCATGTTTACTGAACTAGAACGCCGATACCCTGTTGGAGTGCTCTCCTTTGATGAGACATCTCCACATTCTTCATTCTTTGTCGGAGTCCTCTTCTCAGACTCTGGTTGAATCTCGCCGGACAAAATATCATCATTCTCAGGAGCCCTATTTTCGGTTTCAGATTCTGCAATTTGCCGAGAAGCTGATAGAGGTGAGCAAGGTGATCTGATGAAATTTTGCCGGTTGGCAATGTTACTTGAGGTCAAAGGTAGGCACTTCTTTTTAGACTCTTTCTTAGACTTGAGGGATGCCTCGATATTGCACTCTTGTTGATTGCTAGGAAGAGACATCACCAATTTATCTATCGACTTCTGAACACTTTCTAGCTGTTCCTCGAGATTTGCAATCGTGCTGCCTTGTGAATGAAGTCTCGTAATCTCTTCCTTGAGATTAGCACTTACACTCTTGTTGGTAGCAACGACAGTTCCAAACTCAACTTCTTTTGGCACTGATCTGACAAAACGCATTTCTCTTATTTCTGCTTGCAGATTGGCAATTGTTTCAGCTGCATCTTGGTTGCCTAGCCTATGACAAGCCACCTCTTTTTGTAATACTTCCAGAGCTCGATTTGCTTCTTCCCCTAGCTGTTCTTGCAGGTGTTCAAGTTTTCGGATTTCATGCATTAGTGTGAAAGGAGCAGTTGATGATTGCCTCATAGACTGCCTCAAATTTCTTGCTCTATCACCAGGGCCTATCTCCTTTTTGTCGGGTTTTGTTGATAGAACACCGGTGTATGAGAGACATTTCTTCACAGAGGGATGGGGTATTTCCGAAGGGTTTGAACCCTGAAGTTGGTATATAAAAAGTATTTATGAGCTAAGCTAAATACAAATTCATATATGGGGAGAGAGAGAGAGAGAGAGAAATTGACCTGTGGATCCTCGTCAAGTTTTTGCTGTAATTCGAGCACTTGAGATTGAGCACGATCTCTTTGGCGTTTCAGTTCTTCAATCTCCATTTCCATCTAGTGATGACCAAAAACATTTTATATATACATTTCCAAGCACATGAAACAAAATATCTATCAAGACAAGTATGTCAGTTTACCTGCTGAATTTTCAAGTCTTTTTCCCTTGACGGGTCAGGGGTGCGCAGCTCTGCTTCCAGCCTCGCTACTTCCTTCTGCAGATGTTTCACTAGCTGTTTGTCCGAAACAACCTAGCAAAAAGAATTTTATACATACATAAGAGATTACTAAAATGTATATTGTAAATAAGTAGAGATGCAAACTGAAATATTACAAGAAAATTAACGATACCATATTCACACGAGCATTATTTGTTACTTCCTTTGCCCTAGTGGCAAAGAAGAGCGTATTGCGAGATTGTTCGAAATGGCTCAATGCCGGACTCAAGGTGCATATGATGGCAGTGCGTGCATTCCCACCGAGAGAATGCTGCAATATGCGAGTGAGCTTTGAGTTTCTATAGGGTATATGACCACTTTTTTTCCCACCACTGCAAATCAAACCAGTTCACATAGGTAAGAAAGAAAACTCACTACAATCTTTCACACGACGAAAATGTATGCAAATATAGATTCTTACCTCAGCTTTCTAATGACAGTTGTAAGTGTCATCAAGCTAAGATTGATGTGGCAACCTTCCCGGAGCCTAGCACCATCTGTATGTGTTTGCGAAGCTCTTTCGCTTCCAGCCAGATCGACTAAGTTCTGCACATCATCGACATTCACACTTGTTAACCAAGAAGTAATAATTGAAACAAGGAATTTCAGGTTCCAATTAGTTCCTTACCAGGCTTGCCACGAAAGATCTCACGCAGTCAGAATTCTCACGCAGCGTACTTTCAATTGTCTACAAGGAGAGAATATGTTATTTACAATGTCTCGATTGTTAGGAGAAGGAAAAAATTTCGTTAACTAGCGTCAAAGATCGATGATGAATGAACTGACCAGCCTTATTATCTGATGAGACCGGGAGCTGTTGTCATTCAAAGCAGTTTCACCAACTTGTCTTTGGGCTTCACAAATGCTGATTAAATGTCTCAAATGCTGATCATTGCTTGCAGTTTCCTCCACCAGTTTCTCAACCACTGTACCTTTCTACATTAGGGAAATCGAGAACATGAGTCAATGTCAAAGAACAAGTAACGTAAGGAGCATACGCGAAGGCTTATCACGAAAGTACCTCTGGATCATCTAGAAGCTTCAAACTACGACCCGATTCTGAATTTAGGAGGTCCCTCACGTTCTCATTGTATATTTCTAATCCAGAAATTTTTATTGTAAAGTCTCTCTCCGGTGTCTGCAGAAAAATCCGAGCACATTAGTCTCAAGGCTATAATCTTCACCATAACTTTCATAACTGTTGTTAGTTTGCGATGATTAGGTTTACATTGATGATATGGTTGTAGATATCAATGACAGCTTTCTCTGTTATCCCTCTCATTGTGTATGTCTTCCCACTGCTCGTTTGCCCGTAAGCGAATATAGTTGCTGCAGTGCCAAAGAACATCAACCAATTGTTCAAAAGCGAGATGAGGATCGAAAAAGGAAGAAAAGACATGAATCTAAGGATAAACCACTACCATTGATGCCCATCAACGAAGACAAGGCCACATTTTTCACTCCTTCCTCGTACACTGATTCCGTTAAGGAACTAGGACCGAAAACTTTATCTGCAAACAGAAGAAACCAGTGAACCAATTATCTAATGTGAACCATCACAGATGAGAAATTACAAAGAAGACGCATAGGCAGGGGTTTTTCCATACCAAATGTGAATGGGACCGGTTGAGCCGAGCGTTCTTGAGGCGGGGGCTTGTACACAATCGTGTTGTCATCGAGGCATTCCCACGCAACTTGGTCTTTTGCTAGTTGCTCTCTTTTGTTTAGAGGCCTTAAACGCACCGTGACAACGATCTTCTCCTCCTTAGCTCCTCTAGGCCCACCTGGAGTTGAGACTACTGTCCTGTCTATTTTTGAAGCCGGTGTTGATGCCGGTGTCCTGTCTATTTTTGAAGTTGGTGTTCCAGGAGTTTTGACAGTCATTGTGCCTCGAATCTACCGGATTAAACGAGCTTGAAGAACAAAACACCAACACCGAATCTCGGGCCTTTCCCAGTAAAGGTCAAAGCCTTTCTGCTAAAAACAATCTTGGATTTAGTCTGATAGTACAGAATACAACTAGAAACCAAATAATCTTGGATCCAAAGCATTTCAGATCATAAATTTTGACAATTTGCCATGACCCTCTCACTAATTGCAACATTTATCCCTAAAATCTACAAACTTTAAATCTAAAAACTTATGATAAGCAAGCAGACGTTGGCGTAGTTGCCACATTGGCTAGAGCGGATGTGCTCCCTATACGCCCAAAGGTCTAATTCTCCTCCCACCACTTATTAGTTTATAATTAGTAACCAAGTTAAAAATCAATTTCTTTCCAAATAAGATTGGATCCATCAAATTCCTCTGGTTTTAAGCATCATATATAAGGAAAACGAAAATCTGTACAGATCAGTTTTAAAGGAAACAGAGGAAACTCACAGAAATAGAAAGCCGGATTCGACCCCGGAAACTCCCAGAAATCTTCAGCGCACAAGAGGAATTGAGGGATGAAAGGAGCGTTTGAGTTTGAGGAGAATCGCTCGGCAGTCGAATTCGAATGTTTGAAGAAGAAAGAAGAAGAAGAAGAAGGAGAGGGAATGATGACAAGTTATTGGCTCATTGTTTCTTGGCCTTGTTATTCAAGTTTGAATCTAGGGCTCCAACGGCTAGTTTTTTTCCTTTTTCTTTTTGTCAATTTTTTTGGCTTATTTAATTGAGAATTTTACAGTTACACGCCGACCTCTCCACGCGTTTTCGTTTTCGCGAGTTAAAACGGCTGCGTCGTGTGAAGCGGGACCCAGTTTCAAGTCCTAACGGTTATTATTTTATCTATTTTTATTTAATTATTTTCCTATTCACAAAAGGACAACAAGAGAAGAAGAGTTTCCAACTTTCAATTATTGGTCCAGCCTGGCCCTTCAAGCATAATTTGTGTTTCTTTGCTTTTTTTCCCTTGAAACAACTTACATCTCACGAGTATATTGCTAGGAAAAGGATCATCGTCGGATTTTTTTCTGAAGATTTTGAAGATCCCGTGATCGTGATTGTTCATCGTATATTGTGCAGTCATAAATCATTTCAAAATTTAAAATCCTCGTCGGATTTTTTTATGGAGATTTTGAAGACCCCGTGATCGTGATTGTTCATCGTATATCGTGTAATCAGAAATCATTTCAAAATTTAAAATTAAATATAAATAATACCTAACGAAAACTGACCGCACGATGCACGATAAACAGTCACGACCACGGGATTCCCATAATCCTCAAGAAAAGAATCCGGCGATGATCCTTTTCCATATTACTACAGTGTTGTTTATGTGTTAAAATATAAAAAATATGTATTAATTTATCTCCAATTCTTGCCTGTATAAGTTTATTTTACGCTATCGGTCTCAAGTTTGGATAAAGAAAGGGAAAGACGTCAGTTAGTTGACAGTTGACATTCTATTTTTCACATCGAATTCCTATGTTTTAATTTATCTCCGCATGTCATGTATCACTGGCAACACCAACGTAACGGCGTACCCGTGCTATAGTTGTTACGAGATAATCGGCACCAAAATCACATGAGCCTTATATGTCTACCTCTCAAAAGGAAGAAGAATTTTCATGGCTATATACCGTTATATAAAGGTAGGCAAAAGTCCAGTTGAACTGTTTGAAGTGGTCGATTCAAACCAGTCCGATCAATTTGATATGTTTGAACGAAAAAATTGAAAGTCAACCTTCAGATCATGTCTAAATTTTAAGTTTAGTGAGTTATTCAATCCGATCTAATCTTCAATACCAAATACGACGCAAAGGTATTTGAATGTCGAAGTTCTCGACACCCAACAAAGGGTTTTTTGCTTGTGTTCAATGAATCTCATGACTTCGCAAAACCGATTTGTAATAACTAAATATAAATATATAAAGCTATTATTGACACTCTAAAAGAGTCGTCAAACCGATAATATCTCTATATAATATTCTACAGTGGGTTCTCTCATACACCGCTTACGTTTTTTCATCAGTAGTCTTTTTTGACCTTATTCTCCCGCCTCCCATGGCTTGCATTTTTCATTTCACTGTTTTCAACTTTTTGACACACGATAGAATAATTTACAATAAACTATGGGAGGAGGATTCGAACACGGACCTCGGGTGCAAGGACGGATGTTCTTAACCAACTGAGTTACAAGCCGCTTGACACTGTTCCCACTTCTTTCTTTTCTTATTTTCTATCTTAATTTTGTAACTTGCTACTTTCTCTTCCGTTTTTTGCTATTGAAACAAAAGGTCACATTCCAGCATCCTCCATTTACCTCAACCATGAAGCTTAATTTCAAGGCTTGTAACTTGTGGAGTGGAAGCTAAGATACTTCCATCAGCGAAACAAGATTGATTTCACCTGCAGTGCATGCCGTGCGAAGCGAAGAACTGGAAATCGGGGTGATTGACCTGGAGCCGGCTAAGCCAACTGTCTGCGGCCTGCATCAGGGAACTTGCCAGTTGACACTCCGTCACTCCACTTTGTGTCCACAGGGATCCTTTTAACTTGTAGGATGCCAGTCCAAAAACAGGTAAGGAAATCCTTGGGACACCATCCATCTCACTGGGATAGATCATCACTGGAGCCGGGCTATTTACAGTACCTGCACACAACAAGAAACAAAAAATCTTACGACATCAACTGGCAAGACAAAAGAAACGACACGGTAGATTGAATCATTTGCCTAAGAAAAGTTATAATAGTGTTTCACATTATCGTTTTAGGATCTATTGTTGTCGCTAAACATAAACCAATGAATGAACATAGAAGAGCTAACTCCCGCCATTAAATCTCTATGATCAAAATCCTCGTAGGCGTCATAATGGTGAAAGATGTAAACTTATCCAGAATCCTTCCCCTTCGTGCACGTCGCCACTTCTCTCTATCTCCTTCTCCCTCCCTCCCCTTCCTTTGTGCAAGCAGATAGTGCCAAACTCAAGTAGCCAGAACACTCCTTCACCACCTAAGTTTGTGCGTGTTGCTCTTAGGAAACAACTAAGGATAAAGATTATAGACGCCCGAGACTAAGCATAGAAAGGAAAACCTCGTATCATATAAAAATGCTGGAAAAAAAAAATACCACAATACCAATTAGTAAAAAGTCATTGTTACCTGTCATGGGTGTTGAAAGTGAATGATATGTCAAAAAGCAAGCATCTAAATCTTTCAATGTTGGACCCGTAGGTATTCGATATATGGGATACCTACAAAATCAACCAGATAATATGAATCTTGGTCCGTACAAGAATATTTATAATAATACACATCATATTTTTCTTACCAAGCGACTGACATCCAACTTCCTGGCAGTAAGTCACAGCTTCTTAATGTCTTTAAACCAGGGTACTGGTGTGCAAGACCTGATATCTGTTAACAATCACAATAATTAATCAGAAAAAAGGCAGCTAATGCAGAGCAAAGACCACAAAGTACCGAAATCTACTGCAGTAAGAAAATAAACTAGCCTTGTCAGCCAATGGTTCACGGCCATATGGAGCATCCTGCTCAAGAAACTCAAAAAGCAGGACACCTCGAGAATTCCCAGCTTCTCCATCATCACTAGAAAAGCCTTCTTGTAATACAGGGTGTTCACCATGTATGGACAAACTGCCCATTCTAGTAGATATGTCCCTGCTTAGATGGTGAAGAATCCCCTGCTCCTTTGCAACCTTTATGTGTTTCTCAAATTCATAATCACTGCTTGCATCACTACTCGAATCTAAATAGTTGTCGACATCATTGTCCTCACCCACCTGCCTAACCAAAAGGGAAACATAAAAATGTAAGTCACATGCCATGATGCCAATTAACCTTATAACACACTAGAATCTCTATTATCAACAATCGCACAGTGCTACATATGACAAAAGTTCACGACAAGGAACACATAAGAAAATGGACAGACAAGAAGAAGGGCTTTGCATGTGAAAGGAAGACTGGCAAAAACTTGAAGACTTGTGTATTATGTAGAAATGAAACTGAACATATCAAGACATAATTTTACTAGCACTGAATCATTATCTATCACAGTGTGGAACCAAAACTTTACAAAACAAATTGATCAACTAAGCACTGAAGATATGAATGTACAAAGTGATAAATTTCCCATCAGAAACCATTTGACGGTGACCTCCACGTCTACGTAGATAGTACTAGCTTATCGAAGAGAAATATTGCAATCAGCATATACATTGTATGATTACATTCCCTGAAAACCAATAGTACTAGTCATGGATTCCCGCAATAGATCATTATACATATTCCTGTAATTTAACCAACATTGTGAACATAACATCATTTACAAACTATTTCATGTAACTGATAATCGTTGTAAACAAACATATAACAAAGAAAGATTACAGATTCACATAACTCTGGTGTTCTAAGTGTATGAAACTATGAATCCAACAGAAAGCTTTATTACCTTGACTTTGCATTTGACTTCACTGAAGATTCCCCATATAATTGGATACCAGATAAATATGGAACATAGTATTGAATAACAGAATCACTATTGTTAAGGACCAATGGTACTCCTGCCCCATATGCACTCCACTCCCTGAAGGATTCCCATAGATCATTCAGTGTGAAGTAAGGCTCAAACTCAACATCACAAGTCCTCCGCCCCCTCATTGTCGTCTGCACCAAAACAAAAACCACAATGTTCAAAGTTAACACTTTCCAGAGGATTTCCCAAGTCATTAACGCCTCGTTCAAATCGCAAAACAATGTAAACCAAAAGTAATAGAACTCTGGCATTATTCTTATATTGGTTTTGCACCTAAAGATGGAATTTCTCATGTCAGTTTCGAGCTTCAGAAAAAATTGTACTAGTTATTTTCTCAAGTCTTGAGTTGCAAAACTCCAACATCGAAAAGTCTAGTTTTCTACACTTTCTCCTGCATTTTCTCAGCAGCAAAGGCAGTCTGAGTAACAATAACATAAACATGGTCAACACGTTTTCTTAAGCCTATTATTTTCTCAAATATAAGATTACCCAATAACAGAAACTCAGTTTTCTTCACATTTTTGACAATTTTTTGAGCATCCAAAACAAAGCTAAACAGATAAACATAGAGAAATGATCAACCTTCGAGAAATATTGAGCAGGAACAGAAGGAGTAGTGAACTCCAAGAGCCTCTCCAGATTACTAGTCGGTGTCAGAACCCGCTCGAAAGAGGGCTTTTCCGATGAATTCTGATGCTCTTTGGGGCTCTCATTGGGATCGTTCTTGCTGGCTCTCCGAGCTTGCTTATGCTGATTGTTGTATCTCTTCCTTGCTTTCACAGGAATGTAAAACCTGTCCTCCCCACGAACATTCCCGAACTGCAACCCACTTCCCAACATTTCCCGCAGCTCAAAAATTAAACTTTCTCGCCTCCGTTTGATTGCTGAGAAAACGGAGGAAGATGGAAAGGAAAAGCCGAAACTTTCCGATATGTTCTACTTTTTTACGAAAAACCCAACTCGACCGAGACGAAAACAAATGAAAAGAAGGTGGTGTTGATTCTTTAGCTTATCAAAAGTCCCAATTTAGTACCAGAAAAGGAATGTATAAGATGCTGCGATTTATAAAAGGAAAGCGATCGTTTTCCTGCGGTTTCTCGGTAACCAAACACAGCAGAGAAAACCCAAATTCTATCTTCAAAATCCCAAACTTAAAAAATGGATTGTATTGCAAATTTGGAAGTGATCAGATCAAATCAGCTTCAGAAAGCCCCGAAAATTTGTATTTTTTGAAGAAAAAATCCGAAAATTGGATCGTAAAGCTTGAAATCCAGAAGTAAAAACGCCACGGATCGAAGCAATCGAACGGGTTTTGTGTGAAGGAAGAAATAAAGCGCGGAGGAAAGCACAGGGTAGAGGGGAAGCTGGAACCAGAGTGTATTATAAATGAGAGTAAACTGTCGGTTTACCCCTGAACTTTCACCACATTTTCGATTTCCCCCTGAATTTTTTTATTGGAAAATTAAGAACTCAAACTAATTTGTTTAGCCAATTTGCCCCCTACCGTTAGTTTTTCATATATTCCATCCATATTTCCGTTAAGTGAGACCATGTGCACAACATGTTAGGGTAGTTAAGTCATTTCACTCTTAAAAATGATTAAAAAACTGAAGAAAAAAAAAACAAAACTTTCCCTCTATTTTTTCCCGCTAATTCCTATCCTCGATTTTATTTTTCCCTCTCATTCCTATGCATGAGAAATGACATATGGTGTAAATTAATAATTTGACAAATGCTAATGGTGCTATTGTCTCCAAAGCAGTGCATTAATATAAGAAACTCTAGTCTTTTTTATGGACATGTTTCTTATATTAATGTACTGCTTTGGAGACAATAACACCATGAGCATTTGTCAAATTATTAATTTGTTAGAGAAAATAAAAATGGTAGTACATGCTTCAAGAAAAAGATTAACTTAGCTACTTAAGAAGACAATAACACCATATGTCATTTCTTATGCATAGGAATGAGAGGGAAAAATAAAATTGAGGATAGGAATTAGCGGGAAAAAATAGAGGGAAAATTTTTATTATTTATATTTTCAGTTTTTAATCATTTTTAAAAGTGAAATGACCTAACTATCCTCACATGTTGTGCACATGGTCTCACTCAACGGAAATATGGATGGAATATATGAAAAACTAACGGTAGGGGGCAAATTGGCTAAAAAAATTAGTTTGAGTCCTTAATTTTCCAATAGAAAAGTTCAGGGGGGAAATCGAAAGTGAGGTGAAAGTTCAGGGGGTAAACCGACAGTTTACCCTATAAATGAAGACGAAGATAAAAATAAAATAAAATAAAATAAATTTCTTAATTTAATTTTATAAATTATTAGCTATAATAGGAGGGTGTATTTTTGCATTTTTGCTCACCTTCCTCAAGTAGTTAGTACTCACCATTCTACTTATTATTATTAGATAAATTTAAATTTTGAGGTTCGTATTTATTCACAATACACAGATCTCAAAATTTAAATTAATATAACGATGATAAATCAGATAATGAATATCGTCATTACTTAAAGATGATGAGCAAAAATATTTCAATAATAAAAAGAAAACAAAGGGCTATTTCTGGAATAGAAATTAAGAATTGCGGTTGCTGTGTAGAAAGTTTTGAGGAGTGAAATATCTAAAATGCCCCTCTTTGTAGACCCTTATGCCAATGCAATATCTACATCATTTCAATACATTATCTACATCATCTCAATATTATCGATATCGTAAGTGGTCATTTACAACATTGATGAAAATGAGTTGAACTCTTACATGATGACATGAGTTTAAACTCCATCGATGATTAATTTAACAAAAATTTATTTTTTGAAAAAAAAAAAGAAGAATATATTGTCGATATCGTAACAATATTTTTACTACAATATTGTTATATTACGCTTGCTGTATAAACATGGGTAATTTAGACATTTTCGATCCTTTTATTCCTATCTTTCATGTCATTCGTATCATTCTTTCTATTTGAGCAACCTAAGTTTAAAATTATTCTATTATGGCCAATTTCCTTAATTATTTTGTAGGGGTGATAAATGAAATAATAAAAAAATTTGGGGAGGAAAATACGTGCTGTGAAGTAGTTGCTGAATTGTGATTGTTGGGTTTGTTGTGGGCTGGGATTTTTATATTGACACGTGCGTGGCACGAGGGGCGGGAGTGGGTGAGAGCTACCACTCTACTAACACTCCAAATGATTTTTTTGGTCTAATTATTAACGAATTTCTTCGTTATTGTAGTGACCAACTTTAAGGGAGAAGTTCTTGTGTCTATTCGTCGCATACAATAACACAAATAACGGAATTTAGAAGGATCCTATCAATTTGTGTATATGATCTTATGAATAATTTGATCTGAATACGTAATTTCTTTGCAACAATTGAAGATGAGTTTCTAACTTTCTATGTACGAGTTTCTAATTTTCTATGCATTTACAATATTTAGGTGGCTAGCCACCGCTCTAATAAATATCTAGACGTTTGAAAAATAAGAAAGAGCATCTTGGCTTTCCTAGACTCCAGCCTATCCCACCTAGACCTGCATAGGCGCCCTTCCAGCCTGTCTAGACACCTGCCCAACCCGCCTAGATAGTTTAGGCAAGCTGGTTAATTTTGTGACTTTTTTTGCTGTATTTGTTTTCATTTAAGAAAATGACTTAAGTTGCGATTCTCGCTTAGATAAAAATTATAATTTCTATTTTACATTTTTTTTTGTCCAATCAATTATAAGAGACTTGTTGCATACTTGGAGAAATACTCATTATATGCTTGTTCCCTATGTTTTTAATATTTTATAGTACTTTATAATTTATATACGATTCTATTTTTTTAAGGGAGTTTTAACGAAAAGCCCACGGTACTGTTCACTTTAACGAAAAACCACATTTTTACACTAAAAAGTCAAATCTGGTACTATTCACTTTACCCTTTATTTTGTCCTTATCATTAAAACTCAAAGTTTTCAAGCCATTTTCATTAGTTTTCTTTTTTTTTTAATTTATGTATTCCAAGATAATTATGTATTTTTTAAAGTATAAGTAAGTACTTAGTTTTTTTTTTTTTTTAACAAATGATATTATATACACTATGGGAATGGGTGGGCTTAGCCTCACAATGGGCTAGTAATAAGGAGGCAGATTGTTTGCCCTCCTGTTTGGGTGCCCTTCCCATCCGCTCATATTTTGTACTGTCACGGTTAAGCCACGTCAACATTTTATATTAATTTTTTATAGAGATAATAAGACAAAAAATAATAAGAATATAAAATGTTAACGTGACTTAACCGTGACCGCACAAATAAGAGGGGATGGGAAGGGCAGCCAAAAAGAAGGGTAGACAATCTGCCTCATAGTAATAATGTGGTTCAAATTCATATTTGCCGAGAATCGAACATAAAACCTCTCACTTACAAGTAAAGATGAATATCACTAGACCGTAGTATTAAGTGACAAAATAAATAAACACTTAGTTATATGTTATATAATAAAATGAAAAAAAAGGCGTATGCCTTCTGCTCGACTAGCGCCCTTTAGAACATATTAGTATATTCATATGAATTTTTTAGTAAAAAATTTGAATATTTTAAAAACTGACCCTTTTAATATTGATTGAAAATAATACTAAGTAACTACTATTGCGGCGGTTACAAGTTGCCAATCAAACTTAATTGATTTTCCTATAAAGTAATACTTTATATAAAAGTTTTATGCTTACTTTGGGTATGAGAATAAGTCCCTCCTCATCTAGGGCTTGAAATCTCCTCCCATTTAAACAATACATATTTTCAATTCTTGGTCAACATTTTCTGTACCATTCAATTTTCCAATGGTTGAATTGGACTGAGAATATTGAATCAAATCTATATAAATATAAATTTTTAAGTTTTGGTTTTGGATTTGATGGGTATGGATTGATATTTAATTATTCAAACAGCGTATCTAGTTCTCTTAGTGGAAATTAAAATGTATGATGATGATTTCCTTTAGACCCAAAATAAAATATTGAGCTGGCAAACAAGACCGTCAAGTATATAGTATATTATGGTGCACCTGCTTTTGTACCTTGGACTTTGACATATTTATAAATTATAATATAGTAGTTTCATTGTCAAACTTTGATTTACAAATTTTAGGTGTGAGTTTGTTTGTTTTTGTTTTTTTTTATTTATCTGTCACAAAAATCATATTTATATGTGATCTTAGGTTAAGTTTGGTTTATAATGCATGGATTCTCATGTAGTCTGCATTTTAATGTGTGTCCATGTCGAATGGTGTTGGTTGAGTTTGGTTACATATTTATATTTGATCTTAGGTTAAGTTTGGTTCACAAACGCAAATTATGATGTTGCTATTTCGTTTGTTTAATGCCAAAGTATAATTGTTTATAATAGTTTTAAATTTCCATGTTGTTTTCAGAAAAAAATGAGAAAAATTAAAATGTAGCTTTAGGTTAGAGAAACTTCTCCATCATGCACTAAACCGAAAATATTTATGGGAAAATTTGAAATAGGTCCAATTGTAGAACCATGTCAAAAGAAAAAAAAATACACACACATTTTGGGTTAGGTTTAATTGAAAGGGTTGTGCTATCCACACATCATTTTTTACCTCCCACACGTCTCTCAATTTTTGGTCATCGGATCTAATGAATTGAAGAAGATCAAATGACAAAAATTATAAAAAATATGTAGGAGGTAAAAATGAATGTGTGTGAATAATATCATCCTAACTGAAATTGTTGAAAATATAATTAAAGTGCATGACTTATTCTTCAAAGTATTTTTACCGATACAACAAGGAAATAGAAAGTTATTGATGAATATAGTTGAGAGGGAGCTTTATTACATAGAAGGACCGCAATCATGATAGTTCAATCCCAATAATGTACTGTCATGTAGAGAAAAATTTATGCATGTCAATCTTTATATATTAAGCCAAGGGTCCAATGAATAATATTTTTTGGTGTCACAAGCTTCACAAAAAATAAATAGACAAAATAATGCATCAAATGTGGCAGAAGTATTTACGTCATTTTAACATTGTTTTTTAATAATTAAATTTTTTTGTACAATTTTTTTTAAATAATTAGCAGCTCACAATAGGCTGGTAATAATGTGATTCAATCATTTACTCATTAAATATTATTTTCTCTATTTTTAAACACATTCAAAACATCTTAAGAGACATGCAATGCAAGTTATAAAAAAGATCTTTCGCACGCGGATAATAATGTGATTAAATTAGTTGTCAAATGATTGTTTTTTTTTTGAATAAATGATATTATCTACACTAATGGGGAGGGGTTGAGATTAGCTTTACAATGAGCTAGTAATAATGTAATTCAAACAACTGTTTATTAATTATT